CAGTTATGAATCCCGCAAAATGTCATCTTATTTTGTATAAATTAAGCTTCATTTCTGCATTTTTTTTTTCAAATTTCATCTGCATATTTTTCTACTTTTACCTACAGATACACTGAGTGCGGTAGGTGGACGAACACTTATGCGGCCGACTGTACATACAATCCAACCATCAAAGATTGTAAAATCGACAGATGTAAAAAATCCTCTTTTATTATATTTGCATATGTATAAAGATACATACATATATTGGATTGTTTGAGTAGAATTGTTCACGATCTTCTGATAGCAGTAAAACACGCGTATGTGATGAATCATCTGTTAATAAACAATTAGGTTACTTTTTTATTTGTCATTTGAGAGTGTAACCACAGACGAGGTACAGGATAGACCTTGCATCTTATGGGACTTTTTGTCCGAGGCTTTGGGGCCGTGAAAACCCTTATCATTTTCGTGTCGCTATCAACGTTACCGATTCAGTATAGAATAAAATTACAACATTAGTACTGATTGGAATTGAAATTAAACGTAACTACGAAAGGATTTTTTACATCTGGCAACTTTACCATCTTTGATGGTTGGATTGTATATAATTTCTACAGTCGCCGCTTTATATCGTAGAGGACATAACAAAAACTCTGATTTTTTACACGATCGGTATTTCAGAACGTTGGACACAAAAGTACATTAGGTGTTAGGTCTATCCTATACTTTGTCTATGCCTATATCTCGTTTGTGGCGTAGATCGAAGATTTGTCAGTAATCTAGGATCATCAGTTTCGAACATTCCTTTGTTCCAAAAGATATGAAAATATATTCAATTAATCAGCATTTTATTTGTTAGTAAACTTAAGAAATACTTGTTTTTGATAAAACATCAACTAAATCCTTTTATCTGAATGTCAGGGATTAAAGTAATTATATCTAAGCAACACCGATGCCTTTCCCACCATTAATCTATCCCCTCTCCAATTCTAAACCATCAATTCAATCGCACCATTTACCTTCCGTGAAACTAATAATTTGCAACGTTAAGTGTCGCGATTTTAATTAGCGAAATGTAAAAAATAATTGAACTACGATCGGTACGCCTTATCATTCGAGTGATTGCAAATCTGCGCGACAACTCCTTTAAGGTAACAATTACCGTCATGAAGCCGTCTATTAACATTTAGTAATTTACACAATTGAGCGGGGAAAAAATTGAGATACATTTGTAAGTAGACAAGAGAACGTTAGCCTTGAAGTCACTTTCGATTACAACTCGAGCGGTTTTCAAAGAGTTGCCTGTTGCAATTGACGCATCAGCCGCAACGCTTTACTTGCTCATATAATGGAGGTGTCGTCAACGGGCAATTGAATTTCGGTATTATTCAAAATTTCTGATCTAAGTACGTGAATCTTCGCAAAGTATGACCCTTATGCTGCTACGTAGTTTAAATGTAGATCGTTGAATCTTTGAAAGGTAAGGTTACCATGTCGGCTTTAGTCAATTTGCGCAGTAAACTGAATGTAGAATTGTATGGGATATAGGCAATATTTTTTTTTATTTTCAGAAAAATTATTAAGGAATAACATTATTATTTATTAGCTTAATTATACGTCATTATTGCAATATACGCCTTTTTTCTTTCTTTATCGTACACGGCGCTGCTATTCTTGTATATTTTAATAACAATACTATTGAAGTACGTCATGAGTGCATTATGGAGAGAATATAAATTGGAAACAACTGGACCAGCTATCATGGAAAGTCTGGATAGCATGTGTATATGTAATGGAGATATAAATCATTTTAGCAATGATTCTGTTCCCATAAATGGAATCACTCAGAATGGAATACATGTAAAATGTCAGTACAACCAGTCCAGAAGTTTTTTATTAATAGATAAACAAGAATACCTTCGAGTTTCCAATGTGGAAAAGTTTATGGAAAAATTGAATTATAACAATAAGGATCTAAAAGTAAAAGTGGTATCAATTTTTGGGAATACTGGTGATGGCAAGAGTCATGCATTGAATCAGACATTTTTCAAAGGAGAGGAAGTTTTTAAGACTTCAAATGATCAGAAGTCAGGTACTTCAGGAGTTTGGGCTGCACTTGATTCAGTTTTAAATGTTATATGTTTAGATACAGAAGGTTTATTAGGTACTGACATTTGCATTTCAATACAAAATTCCATACACATTTATTGTATATGTAATGAATTCTATTGTTTTTATTTAGGTATTACCTCTTATGGAAATAAACGAATACGACTGTTGCTTAAAGTTCTTGCAGTATCTGATATTGTTATATATAGGACACAATCAGAAAAATTGAATAGGGATTTATTTACATTTCTTGGTACTGCTTCAAGAGCATATAGCCAACATTTTCAAACTGCCTTACAAGCAATAGGACAGAGAGAAGGGGTTACAGGTTCCTTAAGTGCCCTGGGACCAAGTATTATAGTATTACACGAGACTAAATACACCAAACCTTTGACCAATAGTACATATTGCTACATTCTCAGATTAACAGTAATTTCAAAATAAAAATTTTACCACGGATCAAAACGTTCATTTCATAACAAATATATTATATTTTCTCTGTCATAGATGGTCTAGAAAGTGCAGAAGATGTTCTTAAAACACGGTTTGCTCAAATGAAACTTGAAACAGATGCATTTAATTCCATAAAATATGTTGGGATACAGACGACAAATTCCACAACTGATTATGAACCTTTGCAGACTGCTATTAAGAGAGAATTACACAATACAACTGTACGATCTGCCAGAAAATTACATTTAGTTTATGATACATTGAAAGTTTTGAACGAAAAATTTTCTGGTGGGATGGAGTATTTTTCTAACATTTTGTTCCCTGATCAGTACTTCACCTGTCCTATGAAATGTCTCAGTTGTGGAGCTAGATGTAGCAACAGCATGGGACATCTTCTAGAGGGTAAACCTCATACTAGTAATAACAGGTTAGCCTTCTATTTACCCATCACCTGTAGATTAATAAAGAAACGTCGAGAAATCTATCATAGACGAATGTTTCATTAGGTGTCGATATCAACAACAGTATGAAAACATAGTATATACATGTAAAACGTGTTATAGCAGTGGGAATGAAGTACAAGTAACGAGACAAGTTGAAACTCAGAATGATAGTAGTTGGTATGGATTAGTTAAGTACGCGTTTTCGGGAGACGTGATAGAATGTCCACATTGTGGAGAAATATACAGAAGCCGTCAGTATTGGTATGGTAATAAGAATCCGGAAGAGTTCGCTGTTTGTAAAGACATTACACATGTGTGGAACATGGTATGCAAATGATGTATATTTTGTAGAATATTTCAGACCGTATTACGTTTTTCAAAAATATTAATTACTTTTCCAGACAAATCATTCTGTAGCAACTCAAAATGCAGCACAAAGAATGATCGATGGTGTGTCTTATATTACTGAAGCTGTAACCAACGTTTCGTTACAACCAACAAAAGTATTGTCGGCATGGGTTGCTGATCAAGTTGCTCCATCTTATTGGAGACCCAACAATGAAATAAGGCACTGCCATAAGTGCAAAATGCCATTCAGATCAACAGATACGAAACACCACTGTCGAGCATGCGGGGAGGGTTTTTGCGAACAGTGTTCATCAAAAACGAAGTGTGTTCCATCCAGAAATTGGTACACGCAAGTACGAGTCTGTGATATCTGTTATAACAAAGACGAACCTACTGAATCCTCGGAAGACGTTAACGCTAGAAAAGTATCAGAACAAGTGGTGTCTACATTGAGTGCAGTTGGTTCCGTTTTAAATTATTCCAAATGTAAGGAAACGATGTACACATGTAAAATGTAATTGCATTATGATATTCGTACTAATGTTAATGTTTATTCATTTGTTCAGCGTTTATTAAAGACACAGTTCGACCATCTTATTGGATCCCCGATTCAAAAATTGTCAATTGTTGCATATGTGAGAAGAAATTTTCCATATCTATTCCTTTACATCACTGTAGAGATTGTGGACGTGGAGTGTGTCAAGGTTGTTCACAGCATCGTAAACCTGTACCGTACAGAGGATGGGATAAACCAGTTCGCGTTTGTGATTCGTGCAGAAAGATTGCTTAAAGGAGCTACCTGAACAAAAATCGTTGATAGGATATCGATTTATGGAAAATCTGTTAATCCATTTGCACAACATGTATCGATGAACTAGAAACACCTCGACGATTAAGGGATATGTTTTTCAGATTTTATATAAGCTGCTCGCATTTCATAACGAAATGTATGTGATCCGACAAGATTTTTGTCTGTTGGAAAAAAATTTTTTATTTCCTTCGGAACACGTTTTAAAAATTTGTTATCGAATGAACGAGACAAAAATAGATACGAATATTTTAACACATTGTAAAAAAAATTTTCCTATGAATTGTGCCATGGGTGTACCTATCTCTTTTTACAACATGCAAAAAACTAAAATTATAATAATACAGCAATCGAGTATATGGTGCAGTGTATTGTAGCAGTATACATATAGTCATAATGTAATAGCCAGAAATGTTCTTTTCATTAAATACTGTAAATTGATTGCAATTGAAAATATAAAAAAAAATAAATTGTCAAAATTTAAGCGAAATGACTATTCTTGTTATTCTTTCTCATGTAATAACGGTATTAGATAAACGATGCTACACATTCATGATATCCACTTTACCAAACTTATATTTTCCCGGGTAATTAATCAAACACGATTAATCGATGTTCGAGATGCGATATAAGATGTTTCGGTAACCACGTGATGACGTCAAAATATGGCGTCTCAATCAGCTGGGTGTTGTGTAGAGTGTGCTTGAGATGCCCGTCTTTAGAAAACGCACGAAGACTGCCGTCTGTCTACTCGAATACGTGAGTTTTTCAAAAAACCTCACACTATTCGTCATCTCGTGTTCACTTTTAATTATCGTGATTTAAATGCTTATCAATACAATGAACATCAGGTTAAAAAGCAGAAAGACGCAAAACGCTGTTTCATTTCTTAAACAATTTCAATGTACTTTTTGCCGTCAAATTTCAAGAAAATTCGTAAAATTTCCAGAACTGTATGCAAAGTGATTATTAATTCATGAAATCGTATAAGAAATGCCATGTTCTATTAACATTTAACGACCCAAAAGATGACGCGTATATAAAAATACATAAAATATGGTTGGTAGGGAAACTTTCTCAGTACACTCGAATCTTGTCCTCGTAATGCGCGTTACAATTTTTCAATCGTATCCATGAGCCTCTTGAAAAGTGTGTCTCAAAACGCGATGTTGATACACTGTGCAACCGATGCCGTGGCCATTTTCATGTTTGCTCCAGTTTCGTAATCATTATCAACTCCATATTTGAATTCAACAAGTAATGCAGTGGCATGTTTCGCTTGTTCTCGAATTTTTGTCACTTCACGTAGAACTGTTTCACTGACAACGCGTGTATCTTCGCATTTTCTTCGTCGATGTGCGAAAATCGTAATCAGGCGTCTGCATAATTTCCGAAAACAATACGTCTGTGAAAAATCTGTTTATCCTGTTCCACGTATCGATGAGCAAATTTCGTGTGATTTGTTTTCTCTGATTGTCCACGCGTAAATGAAAAATACGAATTTCGAAACACGTTCTCGAAGTATTTTTATTGCAACTATGTGTTAATAAAAGCAAAAAACATGCTGAGAAACGAAGTGCGCTAAGTAGACGCCATTTTTTCGAAAATGATTTAAAAGTGTATTATTTATGCGAGAAATTCAGTGTAATAGCACACGAACGAAATGTTAAGAGAATTATCGATCATAGTGAAGGATGATAAGAAATGTGTTAAAGAATTGTTCGATTCTGACAAAGTTTATTTTCAATGTGTTCCTAATAGACACGGCCATTTTGTCGCTTATTAGTGGATAAACAAATGACGATGTTGGTACTTTGGGTTCGAGGCTACAGGCGCGTCACATGCGCGGAAATTCAATTTCATTGCCTACGCATCCCTTCCGTAATTATAGTATTCCTATATGATACCAAAAATAGAAAACGCACCGACATTTATTTAAAATAAATCTATTTTACTTCCTATAGATTTTTCTACCTACATGTCGATAATTATGATTATTTTTAGTCATAAAGTTATGATCATTTAAAAGGTTACACGTGTTTCGTTGTCTGTACGCCATCGCAATTGCTTTTTAATTCACAAACTTGCACGTGACTGGTATTTTCATATATAGTTATTTATTAGATTTCGTAACGATTCACAGTGTTTCGAGAACGTCTTCATTGTAGCAATTAATCTAGATATTCCGTACGATGAAAAATGTTAATTTTTATCACGAGACGATCATGTTACGTTTGTCTTTCAACGAGCGATAAAATTCTACGCGTAGTCGAATAAATTCAACTTTTGAGCGAATCGAACTATTCAAGAGGATATCTATATATGAGCACGTTGCTAGGATTATGAGGAAGCTGTTGCTTGGTAACAGTATTTCTGCTTCGTTGCCGGCCGAATCATCGACGCTTATCAATGCCTCCCCGCTTCACAGATTAAACATCCTTTCTCCTTAGAAAGAAAAAGTAGTCACCAATTCTTTTGTAATTCTTTTTGGAATTTCTAATTAATTAATTAGCAATAAAAAGAGATAATAAAATGATTTTGGAAAGTTTAGTGTATAAATCTTTTATGAAAGTTGCACAAATGTTCATAGACAAAAGTTTGAAAGAAGTTTGAAAAATAATGCATTTAATCATAAATTAATTTTTGGATAGAATTAAAAGGAAATGTACTTTCTTTAATTTGCAGTGACAAATAAGGTACTTGATACAATATGCCACCAGATAGACCAGATGGGTCAGATATGGAAACTGGCATGGGACTAAGTAGTACACAAGACTTTGATTTTGAAGAAACCCTATACACAATGAAGAAGGAAGAGGACACAAGTGATTTTGTTGAAACAAATTCAACAGATGAACTTTCTATGTCTGAGAAGTCAATTGAAAAAAACAGCCAGTCAGATGATGATCTGACTTCTTTGAGCTGGCTTCATCAGCAGAATCTGTTAAAGGGTCTGGATATTTCAAACCCCTCCAAGGACATGAAAAGTGAAAATGTTTTAAATAACAATGTGTGCGATGATATGGCAGATTTTTCTGAAAACACCAATTCTGTTTCAAGTTTAGATGATGGTTATTGTCCAGGTGATTATTACATGATCTCATTTTAATTGAAGAGAAAGGACCAACATTAATTATTGTTTTCCTCCTTTCTTATTACCACAGCAGACAATAGTGGCAAGATAAATAGTACAGCATCACATGGTAATAGTCAAAACTATCAGCACTCAAATAAAAATGGTCAAAAATCAATACAAATCTTTCAGGAGTCTGTAAAAAGTCATTACAATAATTCACAAAACAATCAGACGAAGATTTCTCTGAACAACAATAATCTGCCAGTATCAAACCGCAACAAACACCCAACTCATATACCATATGATCCTCATTTGCATAGAAACAGTAAACCACCATATTCATTTTCTTGTTTAATTTTCATGGCTATTGAGGATAGCCCTGTAAAAGCTCTACCAGTCAAGGAAGTGTATGCTTGGATATTGGAACACTTTCCATATTTTAGGAATGCTCCAACTGGATGGAAAAATTCTGTTAGACATAATTTAAGCCTAAATAAGTGCTTTCGTAAAGTAGAGAAAGCACCAGTAAGTATGGTTACATTATAAAATCTATTAAAAAATTATGTTCCTTTTTAGAAATAAGAATTCAATGAAAATTTTATTTCTTTCTAGAATTTGGGCAAAGGTTCTTTATGGATGGTAGATGCCCAGTATCGTCCAAACCTGATACAGGCGTTATCTCGTGCCCCTTTCCCTCCCCCAGCCGCTCAAACTTTATCCTCACCCGAAAAATCACAAAAAAAATGCACCAGCACTCGTCTTCCAGATCCTATTCTTTTTCCATACCTCTCCAAAAGACTGGCATCGAGCAACATTACCGAAAACACAGATACCGAAGTAGATAGTGACGTAGATGCAGCAGCTGCTGCTATGCTTTCTTTTAAACACGGACCTATTATTTTAAATCACAACAAAGGTAAAGTATTTTATGATAGATCTTACATTCATTAAAAAAAAAGTACAATTAATAATTTCTAAAATATCTCACAGATCGTAAGCGAAAAGTACTGGAATCTGAAGTATTGGTTCCTGTAATCACTAGGAGCTCCAGCGAAGATCATACTTACAGTTGCATCACGTCCGTAAGACAAGAATGGTAAGCAATGTTTCATATAATAGTTTCAAACAAAACTTCTCTAACAATATGACAAAAATGGTTAATTATAAATTTGTTATTCGTTTATTTCTCAAGTAAATATGTTAAGAAAGAACAAACTTCTGTTATTCCCGACTTCGACGAGCAACGGAAGATCGCGGAAGGCGCGGACGCGCTTTTGAATTTGGCAGGTGTCGCCACGCCGCTCAATCACAGTAGGACGCAGCAACATATACCAGGTATTAACGCGACACCAAAGTCTGAGGGTACGTCAAAGTTGAAGAAACGTACGACGCCGAACGATTACTCGAACCCGCCCGAGAAAAGACGTAAGCATTGGCCAAAGTGGAGTGAAGGGAAGCGGTATATAAAGCAGATTATATAAGTAACTTCGGTTGTATGTGTGTATATATATAGCATCGCAGAGACCCTTCCTAATTCTCTTTTCCGCAAAATAGAACATATTTTGAAATTCTATCTCTCGGTATGGGTTTTCAAGACAATGGTGGACTTAAAATCCCTTACATCACTGACAATGAATCTGTCGTCTTTTGATTACAATTGAAGGTTAGGAAAGATTTGCATCGAAGTTAATTGCTATTCTTCTGCGTGTAAGAGAAAAAAATAAGAGTGAAAGGAACGCGATGTGTTCTATCGCGTTAGTGAAAGAAAAAACTATATGGTGCATTTTTATTTAAAAGAAAAAAATAGGTAGGGCAAGGGGGAAAGGAGAGCAAAAGAAAAAGAAAAAATTGGTGGTCGCTCAGGGTTTAGAACTCGCTATATGCCAAAATGAATTCAGTAGCACTAAGCAACAAGCAATAATAGAGATGGAGATAGTGTTTAAGAAGAAAAAGAAAGAGGTTACTTTTTCGAACATGTTCTTAAACCATGATAATACAATTATGAGGATAAATGCGGTTGGTTCATGGAACGCCAATGAAGAAACAAAAAACACTATCGCGTACTATAAAACTAAAAATATAACGATAATCTTTTTAGACCTGTTGTGACAATTATACATATTAATTCATAGAGAGTTTAATTAATGATAAAATAGAGTTCTATATTAGGTTTTTTGTAGATATGTATAGAAATATATAATTGATATCTATTCGATAGAGAAATTGATAATATATTTAAAAAAAGATCACACACACACACTACACGCGCGAACGAGCACGTGACACACACACGTACACACATTCATTACATTAAAAGAAAAAAGAAAAAAAAAAGAAATACATCTGGTCATGTACGCAGCTGTATGTGTGCAAAATGTGTGTCACGATAACACTATATATCGAGTAACGAAAATGAACTCTATAAATCGAAAAAAGTCGGAGGTACGCTGAATATGGATTTGAAATGAGAGAATATTATCATTTCATTGCCTTTTTCTACTCTCTTCGTGGCTTTTGAGATGAATTTGAACAGTGCTGTACATAACTTAGATTCTGTAATGTATACAGAGACCAGTTTCAAAAAATTTTGTTAAATTATCAATATATATCGCGTCGAATTGATATAATATTGATTGGAAGAAAAATGTATAAAATGGTTTTAAGTGGACGAAGGAGAAGAGGTCATCCTATTTTTATAAAAAAAGAAAAAAAAAACAAGAAAATATAGAATATCGATGTACTGGTCTTGTATACATTAATAACTTAGTTCTATATAGAGAGAACGTATATTTTTACAGGGCACTGCCCGCGTGATAAAAGCTCTTCCTAATAATTGCTAAAATGAGAAAAAAAACACAGTTCATTAGCTTAAACCATTTACTAATTGTATCTTGCGTGACACTACAAACACAGCATGGTAGCGCAGCCTGAGTAATTTCATGTGTTTCTTGAATATTACATGCCATATATGACATAAAGTTATTTAATGAAAAAAACAGAAGAAAAAGAAATACATAATTTTGATTTTGTATAGCGACTGCATAGAAGGTTAACTCAACACTTTATCACAGGAAAATACTTAGTTACCAATTTTAAAAATGGCAGAAGTTTTTTTTATAGATCGGAGACATTTCTAGTCTTACGATTATACTGTGTAAAAATGGTATCAGTTATTAGGTTGGTAATGATATTTAAGCGTCACACTTGCGATTTATGGTAAATTATTATCTGTAATATACACATATGTTACTGCTGGCTCAGATACATTCAGATACGAGAACTCATTTATTGTCGCTTCTTGACGGTGCAATTTCATTTAACTTATTAACAATACACAATTCTTTATTGTCTAATATTTACTATCTTAGTTTACTTTCGAGAAGTTTACAATCGGGGGTAATTGTAATTATTTCAAGTCAGTAAAGTTATTACTTGCACTTAAAAAATTATACGCTAACTCTATGAAACTTTTAGGTGTTATTAATGTAAAGAGGAAGAAAAGGAGTGTAATTAATTTAGCATCACAAACGAAGATTACGTGGATAGGGATAACCTACAAGGACAAATTATCAACAAGGCGCGCTGCCAAAACATTTTATGTGATTGTAGCTAGTTAGCTACAAGGGGATGAAAAAAAGAATCCAAGATGAAAATGGGTGCGAGGAAGAATGCCATGTTTATATACGCAATCGAAAAATTTCAATTTTTTGGGAGAAACATTATATATATACATTTTACGTGAATGTAAAAGTTATTCTATTTAGCACACACACACACACGTATTTATAAATGATATAAAGTAATGCTTTAGAAGCAGACACCACGTGTTCCCTTTAGTGGACACTTTTTTTTTCGAAATTTGTATACGCACGAGCAAGACCAGTTTTTTGTAGACTTTACGTTTTCTATTGTCTGTGATATTATTGCAAAAGTGAAACACACACCTTGTTGTTGTTGTTGTTATATTTTGGTGAAAACAGAAGTTTTAAAGCTTTATATGTTTTATCGTTTAGAGAAGGGGAGAGAGAGAGAAAAAGAGAGGTGGATAGAGGAAAGAAATACAAGAAGGTGTTCCTTGCACTTTTCTGATATTAATTGGCATTCTTGCTGACACCTAAAGCATTTTGATCTAGATAGGGAAACTGGCATCTTTAAATTAGCAATATATTATATTTATTATATATATATTGAAAGT